TAGCCGGGCATGGTGGCGCATGCCTGTAGTCCCAGCTACTCGGGAGGCTGAGGCAGAAGGATTGGTTGAGCCCAGGAGTTTGAGGTTGCTGTGAGCTAGGCTGACGCCACGGCACTCACTCTAGCTTGGGCAACAAAGCGAGACTCTGTCTCAAAAAAAAAAAAAAAAAGACTCAGAATTGTTCCTCTCTTTAGTAAAAGATGAAAGATTTATATGATCTGAAGAGAAACCAGAGTATACTTTGTGTCTCTTAAATTTACCATTCCACTCACAGAATGTTGAGCTGGAAGCCACCTTCAAGGTCTTTGGAGTCGATCACCTTGTTATAATAATCAGAGCTCATATTTATTGAGGACTGAGTTCCCCCGGGTACTTCATATACTAACAATCCTGTGAGGAGGCTATTCTTGTTACCTATATTTCACATATGAGGTAATTGAGACACAGAGATGGTAGGTAACTTGCTTGGGGTCACACAGCTCAGAAGTCATAGAGCCAGGATTCAAACTCAAGTTTGTCAGATTTTGAAGCCTGCCCAAAGGTAGGAAAGGGCTTGCCAAAGATCATTTTGCTAGAACCTAGCTCTTCTGACTCTAATTTGTCTGTATATTTTGCTGTGCCATGCTGCTACGTTAGCCGCACCGTAGGGTTCCTTCCAAGCATCATTTTCTTATTTAGAAGAGCTACTCTCCCCAGATGGACTGTTCATTCCTGCCGACAGGGATTGTGCTAATTCTGTGTTGCTTCCTTCCTCAAGGGCTTGCCCAAACTTTATCTTCAGTAAATAATGACCTGTGATCAGCTCCCGAGCTACTCCTGGGAATTGCCTGGAACAATTCCCCAGTACAACTTGTGGCTCTGAGGTTGGGAAGAGTGGGAAGTAGAATTTTGGGGAGAAAGTTGCCTCACCACCTGCTTTCTGTTTTGTTCTCCGCAACACAGATTGAAGATGGAGGCAAGGCAGCTTTGTCCCAGAAGATGAGGACTGGTGATGAGCTGGTGAATATCAATGGCACTCCATTGTATGGCTCCCGCCAGGAGGCCCTCATTCTCATCAAAGGCTCCTTCCGGATCCTCAAGCTGATTGTCAGGAGGTAAGGTACAGAGAGATGCTGCAAGGTGCAGAAGCCACTGAAACCACTTGGTTGATAATAAAGCCTTGATAGAATCGTGTCTCTATCAATATCATCAAGGAAAGAGGTGTTTCAAGTGAACAGAATTTTGCAGACAACTGAAGCAGAAAGGCATAGGTGAAAGAGCCTTTGGTTCAAATACTGATACTGCCACATACTAGCCATATCATCTTAGATAATTTTATTTTACCTCCGCAAGACTCAATTTCCTCATTTGCTATTAAAAGTACTAAATGACTCACTACACACCAAAGGCCTACCTAACTCCGCATTTTTCTGTCTCCTCCTTTATAATAGACTGCCAGTCCTCAACAACATTATCAGCGAAGACTTAGAGACACCCTACTGCCAGCCATGGTAGGCACTCTGGAGGCTGTGACAAACTCTAAGACAGAAACTCTGCCCTTGAGGAGAATACAGTCTGAGAGGGAAGAAAAGACACACATGTGACAAATTCATTAGCAATGCATTTTTTTAAGAAAGCAATAAGGGAGGTTTCACTGTGTGGTGTGTGATTGTCACATGGATTGTTCACACAGAAATTATTAGAGTTAGAGAAACAGATCCCTTCAGAAGGGATTGATAGGGTAAGACTAAATAGAGGAGGTGGAATTTAAGTTAAAGGGTGGGTAGAATTTGAAAAATAAGCCATCAGAGCGGGAAGGCATTCCAGGTAAGTGGAGTGGCATAAGCAGAAGGAAGGTAAGGACATATGTGAGCACAGTTATTCTGCTGCCACCGAAACATCTGCCTATTGGTGAGCTGTCCACATGGTCTTTCTTTCATTTTGCTGCTACATCTTTGCTTTGTACTACTGGAGCTCATACTTCTCCCTTTCTATGGGTTTGTTTCCTTTATCCTATATATATTCCAAAGTTTTTCCATCTTAATTATTTTTATTAGAAAAAAATTAAAAAGCATCTTCCCACAATCTCACTTCTCCCTCTGGCTACTGCCCCATCTTCCTCCTTTTGTTCATATTCAGTCTCAAAAGGAGAGTTGTATTCACTGCCTCCACTTCTTTACCTGCCATTTAACTTTCCATCCCCTACAGTCTAAATTTGATCCCCAGAACTCCATTGAAACTACTCTGTCAAAAGACACTAATTATCTCCTAATTGTCAGAGTCAATGGATTATTTTCAATCTTCCTCAAATATGACTTGTATATGGCATTTGACATTGTCATTGTATGTCATGCCCTCCACTCTCCTTTATGAAACTCAGTAGCAATAAAAAAATACTCATATAGCAACTCAATATCAGAAAAACACAAAAACCCAAATAATCTGATTTAAAAAATGGGCAAAGATCTGAATAGACATTTCTCAGAAGACCTACAAAGAGCAAAACAGTATATGAAAAAATACTCAACATCACTAGTCACTGGAGAAATGCAAATAAAAACCACAATGAGATATCACCTTACTCTAGTTAAAATGGCTTTTATCGAAAACTCAAAAAATAACAGATGCTTGTGAGGACATGGAGAAAGCAGAACCCTCATACAGTGTTGATGGGAATATTAATTTGTATAGCCACTATGGAAAACAGTACAGAGGTTTCTCAAAAAACTAAAAGTAGAACTCCCATATAATCCAACAGTCCTACTGATGGGTATATATCCAAAAGAAGGGAAATCAATATATCAAACAGATATCTGCACTTCCATGTTTATTGCAGCACTATTCACAATAGTCAAGATATAGAATTAATGTAAGTGTCCAACAATGATGAATGGATAAAGAAAATATGGTATATATACACAATGGAATATTATTCAGCGATAAAAATGAATGAAATCTTATCATTTGCAGCAACATCAATGAAACTAGAGGTCATTATGTTAAGTGAAATAAGCTGGGCACAGACAAATATTGTATGTTCTCACTCATATGTGGGAGCTAAAAAGGTGGATCTCATGGAGTTAGAGAGTAGACTGATGGTTACCAGAGGCCAGAAAAAGGAGAGGCGAGAGGAGGATGAAGAGAGGTTGATTAACAGGTACAAAAGTATAGTTAGATAGAAGGAATAAGATCTAGTGTTTGATAATTCAGTAGGGTGACTAGCGTTAACAATAATTATTGTCTATTTCAACATAGCTAGAAGAGAAGAATTCAAATGTTCTTAACAAAAAGAAAAGATAAATCTTTGAGGCGATGGATATCCCAGTTTTCCTGATTTGATCATTACACATTATATGTATGTACCAAAATATCACATGTACCCACAAAATATGTACAACTTTATGTATCAATTTAAAAACTCTTACTTCCAAGATACCTTGTTTCCTTGTTCTTTTCCTACCTCTCTGTTCATTTTTTAAGCCAGACTTCTTTACTATCTGCTCTTCCTCTGACCATCCCTTAAATATTGGTATTCCCCTAGTTCTATCCTTTCTAACTTCATTAATGTACTGTGGAAAATCTTACCCAGTCTAGAGATTCAATTATTACCCATGTGTGAATGACTACACCTCTTGCGCCCCAGACCATACAACCAACTTTCTACTGGACATTTACACTTAGATGTGTCAGAAGCGTTTCAAACACAACATGCTCAAAACCTAACACATCATTTCCTTCTCCTCCTAAGCTCCCTAATTGTATGATCAGGACCTTGATGCACTCAGTCAACAAAGCCAGAAACACAGAAGACATCTTTAATTCCTCCATTGTTCTCGTGTTCTGCATCCAAATGATTTATCCTGAAGAGAGAATACTTCAGCAGAAAAGGATTTGGAGTTAGGAAGGATGAGGTTATGTAAGATCCTACTGACTTATATTACCTGCTGGTACCTAAGATTAAGCTATGCCTACCCATGTACCTGGATAGGAAGTGACATATTAGGTAATGCCTTATACAATAGGCACGTTATCTCTGATTCGATTTGGATTTATTATGATTAAGTTTAAATAAGGCTTCTTGGAGAGGTAACTTGGTGAATTTGGGAAAGTTTTTGTTTTAGAGTCAGTTCCATGTATGCAACTTCCTAGTTCTGTCATATGAGAAATAATAATTACCATATAATGGCATTATTGTAGTGATTAAATGAGACAATTTGTGTAAAAATGCATTTCACTTAATGGATTCTCAGTGAATTTCATTCCCATTCCTTTCCCCTAGGGTATCAAAGAAGCATAATTGGAATAACCAAACATTGTTAAATAGGGAGAGCATCAGAACCCTAGTGTGCTTTGCAACCTAACCTGCAGAGAGTATGATTTACTGGGAAATGATTAGGGGTGGCAAAGATCTGAGCAGGAAATAAAGGCCCCTGTGATACGCTGGCTGTACAGAGATACCAGCACTTAGAGGGAGTGTGGACACTATCCAGAGTAGCGTCTGAGCCAGTCACAAGAATGAGAGGTTTTGAGTGTTTCAGCCACGCATCCTCCCATGGTGAGCTCTATGTCCTCTTTCTTCCTACTGTAGCAACGTCTGCCACTACCAGTCACTTAGGAGTGGCTACAATTATGGCCTTGGAGATAGCAGGGCCCTTTGGTTTTCATAGTGTGGCAGGTCCTATGACTCCCTGAACCTACTTTCTCTACATTTGTCAGCCTCCTCATCTCAGCCTCTATTGGTTGAGGCTTTCAATGACATAATTTATTAGGTGATGCTGCCCTCTTGTGGAAAACTTCACCTTTACATATGGACTACCCTGGGCATGGTATAAGAAATTAATTCCTTCTTGCTTAGTGCAAATTTTTCCTCAAAATTTATAAAAGAACTCTTAGCACATAAAATAAATGTGATTTCCCTGAAGTTTGTGAATATGCAGCCTAGTGTTTTTTTTTTTTCTTTGAGACAGAGTCTCACTCTTTTGCCCGGGCTAGAGTGCCGTGGCGTCATCCTAGCTCACAGCAACCTCAAACTCCTGGGCTCAAGCGATCCTACTGCCTCAGCCTCCCGAGTAGCTGGGACTACAGGCATGCGCCACCATGCCCGGCTAATTTTTTCTATATATTTTTAGTTGTCCGGTTAATTTCTTTGTATTTTTAGTAGAGACGGGGGTCTCGCTCTTGCTCAGGCTGGTCTCGAACTCCTGAGTTCAGGAGATCCGCCCGCCTCGGCCTCCCAGAGTGCTAGGATTACAGGCGTGAGCCACTGCGCCCGGCCCAGCCTAGTGTTTTATGCAAAGGTAGAAGGCCTTTGGTTTGAGTAAGCAATCGACTGACAAAGATCCAACACTGAGATTTAGGTCTGGGCTTGAGTCTTTTGGGGATGAATATAAAGAGAAGGAACTTTAGAAAATGGCCTATTCTGAAAAGCCAGCTCAGCTGTTCCTCCTGTGTTGCCTTCTAGATAATGGTCAATAAATCAGAAATCTAGGTGTTGCCTTCAGCTCTTCCTGGCCCCACCTCCTTGAATCCGAGTAACTCCAAGTCTTGATGTTTCTAACCTGCTATAAACCTCTATTGCCTTTGTCTTAATCCAATTGCTCATGATTTCTCACCTGCACTATTTAAAGAGTCTTCCCACTGGCTTCTCAGCTTTCAGTCTTACCTTTTTCCAATCAATCCATTCTCCAAATAGGTATCTGAGCATGTCACTTCTCTATTTGAAAAAACAAATCAAGAACAATAACCATGCAACGATGTGGATCTTAAGAGATTCAGTTTATATTGATAGAAGATACAAACCATATTGAAGTTATTCTATTCATGAACCATTTTTTCTGCAAAAAAACATATCATCTAAATATGTGAAAAAAAAACTGTTAGCAATACAAAAGAAAAACGATAGAAACGTCTGTATGGGAGACTTTCACAGAATCTAAGTATGAAAATAAAGTAGACCTGAAAAAAAGTACTTAGAAGATTTGGAAAACATAATTCATTAGACCTAATTAATAAATTTCAAAAATTATATTTGATAGTGCATGTACCTACCCTCTTTTCAAATATTCAGAGAACATTTTTAAAAATGATATTATGCCACAAAGAAAACCTTTATAAA